TTTGGCTTCTCCACCACCTGATCTAAAAAGTTATCCCCAACACAATCTAGAAATGTTGTGTTACCCTCCCAACACATGTTGCTGTACAAGCAAAAATATGTCACAATAATTGAAGACCACCATGAAGACCAGATCCTACAATTTGGAATCTTTGGTTAGTTTAAAAGAAGCCTTAAGGAGGGGAGAATGGCAAGCCTCTGACCTTGACCCAGAGACTTTCAAAATGCCTACCTTCTGCTTTGTACTTCATCTCAGAGAAACACAAGCTACTTTTTTCCCCCCTGCCTATTCTTCCTGAACAACTTATACCAGTCTATGATGGTATTCCATTCATGTGAACTGTCCCACCAACTCTCACTTATCCCAGTTGCATCCTACTTCCCTGAATGTACTAGGATCTCCAAGTCTTTCTGTTTATCCCACAGGCTTCTTGCATTAGTGCACAATGTCTCCATTAACTAACACACTTTCCTCTTCCTGTGCATTGCATTCTGACTTGCCAAACCTATTTTTGGCTACTCCTTTCCATCTCACTTCTCCCAAAGATTTTTGTTCCCTACTTCTCTTTGTTGAATTTCCCCCTCTAGCCCTAAAGAGATGATCACATCCTTTCATGTAATTAACATCAGTTTTGTGTAGTGATATAAATTACACTAGGATCAGGACTGGACATATAGATTAGGTACAAACGTTACACTTATACCAGTAAAAGTGATCTGAAACTAGTCTATACCAGTAACAAAACATAAGTTCAGCATACATAAACTGGTTAAAAAATGGTGTGCCCTAATCTAAGATAGACCTGGATCAATGTGGTATCAGGATTAATCCATTTAGGTTAGACTGGTCTATCAAACTTCTACACCAGATCCCCTACTGACTCAAGTTAGATCACTGTCTTCTGGCATCCTGGCATATTCGTGGTTCCTTGCTAACTTCTCCCTGGCAGGGAAGTGCACTAGCAGCCAGCCTGTGCTCAGCTGCTCCAGCCAAGTGCCTAGCCAGCCCCACCCCTGGGCTCTCACAGAGCTGAGACAGCACAGCCCAGACAGGAAAGGGTTGCTTGACTATACCTGCCAGCCTGGTCCTGCTCTCTGGAGTTGCACCCACTTGTGGAGGCCTTGGGATCCCTGGGTGGCTGTTCAGGAGCCCCCCTCCCCTCCCATTCACCACCAAAAGGCGAACATGTTTCTGTTAGCTACCCATGTAACTGGGGCACTTAAAGTAAAGTGAGTAACTTGGATCACTTGTGCCTCAGGCTTTCTGGACACCTGTACTGCACCATAGAGTTACCCCAGAAGAGTTACATCCAGTAACATACATCTTAGGAGTTGGGTGGCAGATAATAGCCTTTTAATTTGTACCAAATAGCTGCTGCAGATAGACTAAATCAAGACCAGTGTAACTTGCACTAGTAGTGTTTTAGGTCTAATTCTTTCAGTGGCAGTTTTTAAACAGAGTGGGGAAACATTACCATTGTTTAGGAGTTTGTCATCTGTCTTCTCTATACAATGCTGATTACTACAGTATGAACATGTCATCTCTCCAGGCCCTTGGTATGTTTCTCTTTCTCCCAGTATGCACACATATGCACATTTAGATATGCTTCACTGCCTGGAGTGCTCTGCTTCTTGGTTACTGCATCTCTTCTGGGAAAGGAAAGTGCCTCAGGACTGCTCTTCTCCAGGCTTATGTTCAACCTTTATGCTGATATGACATTTCCACTTACCACAAGCAGCTATTTGCTAGTTTATCTCTTTGTTTTCCAATGCATGAATACAAAGAAGTCAGTTTTACAATTCCAAATAATAAAATTTATATAAAAGCCATTGTACTGGTGTACTACATATTTCAGAACAATTTTACTACACTTATTTACTAGTGTACTTACCTGTACAGATCTCTTCAGTCTCATCATCTATGCATTCTCTGTCATCACATTCACAAAATTTACCATAGATCAGACCAGTCCCTTCAGAATTTTCACACTTACATCTGCCACATTGACATGTGCCTGTAAATATTTAAAACAACACCATATATAATCATGGCTTATAGAAAAAGAACACTATTTTGCTGGTTTGTTTTGCTTTTTAAGGGTCCATCACTTTTGTTCTGACAAGTTGAAACCTCAAGATAATTCAGCCAGAAAACAAAGGCCAGTCCATCTAAAGTTTTAATAATATCATTTAAGTGATTCATCCAAAAAAAACCAATGAAGAACCATAAAAAAGTAATAAAAAAAGAAAAGAAAGAAAGAAATCCCTAGATCCATGTAAAATTCAAAACCAATATCTTTGGTCTATCTCCATCCTCTATAGATGATAAACTATTCAATATCCCTGCCTACACCCAGATAATCCAGAGATATTATGGATTCCACAAATACAAATATAATTTTGGGAGATATTTCTTAATCCCAGTGAAAGAAAAAGGCTAAATTTGACTAATTACTTTTCTACAACATTTCTTTGGCTATGAGGGAAGTTGTGTTTTAATACAGCTTGCAGGAATTGTTTGCCACCTGTATAAGGGCTTATTTTTCCCTTCAGATATATACTATCTCCAAACTCTGGATTAGCAAATATATTTGAAGAACAGATGGCTACATACAATTTATCAACTTGATATATCTGAACTCTGCTCCCTTCAACATGTAGGTTTCTAGAGCCTTATATTTTCCGTTTGTGGAAGTTGTCTCAGAAGGAGGTATGGTTCCACTGTAAGTGGAGAAATTTAGTTCAGTGCATATTATTTCTATAATATATCAATATAGCTTGACAAATAATACAAAACATTATCTGAAAGGGTTTAAACAACAAAACCAAGAATGGCATGGAATGAGCACATTTCCCAGTCATCACATTAATGATTCTGTTCATATAGAATCATAGAAAATAAGGGTTTAGAGGAACCCCAGGAGGTCATCTAGTCCAACCCCCTGCTCAAAGCAGGACCATTCCCAACTAGATCATCCCAGCCAAGGCTTTGTCTAGCCAGGTCTTGAAAACCTCCAAGGATGGAAAGTTCACAACCTCTTTAGGTAACCTCTTCCCATGTTTTACTACCCTTCTAGTTTCATAAATGTTGGGGGCTGGAAGGGACCTTACAAGATCATTGGGTCCAGCCCCCCTGCACGTGGAAAGCTTTTCCAAATATCTAACCTCAAGTTCCCTTGTTGCAATGTGAGACTATTGCTCCTTGTTCTGTTAACTGCCACTACTGAGAACAGTCTAGCTCTGTCCTCTTTGGAACCACCCTTCAGGTAACTGAGGGCTGCTATTAAATCCCCTCTCAGTCTTGTCTTCCCCAAACTAAATAAACCTGGTTTCCTCAGCCTCTCCTCGCAAGTTATGTGCCCCAGCTCCCTGCCACTGGACTCTTTTCAATTTGTCCACATCTTTTCTGTAGTGGAGGTCCCAAAGCTGGACACAGTACTCCAGATGTGGCCTCACCAGTGCTGAATAGAGAGGAATGATCACTTCCCTTGATCTGTTTGCAACACTCATGCCAATTAGCCTTCTTGGAAACAAGGGCACACTGTTGGCTCATATTCAGCTTACTGTCCACTGTAACCCCCAGGTTCTTTTCTGCAGAGCTGCTGGCCAGCCAGTCAGTTCCCAGGATGTACCAGTGCATGGGATTATTCTGTGCTAAGTGAAAGACTTTGCACTTGTCCTTATTGAACCTCATGAGATTTCTTTTAGTCCAATCTTCCAATTTGTCTAGGTCTTTCTAAATACTAAACCTTACCCTTCAGCTACTCCCCACCAGCTTGGTGTCATCTGCAAACTTGCTGAGGGTGCACTCTATGCCAGTGTTTCTCAACCTTTTAAGTAGCAAGTACCTCCTAACTTCTGAAAATTTTAATAAGTATACCAACACTCAATTTTCCAGGGGTTTTTACATTGCAGACTAATGTGTGCCAGATATTGGGAGAGGGGCTGTGTATATAAGGCTGTGATATGATCTGGTGTGGGTAGAATTGCCACCTTTTACCCCAGGGGTGCACAACTCAAATATGTACCTGGGCTAGAGGTGATGTTGGCCAAAGCTAGGAGGGCTAAACCCAGTGCTGCACAAAATGTGGCACGCCAAATTATTACTAGGGAATTTAAAGCACCACACAGTGCGCGGCACACCAAAATTTTTGCCATAGTTTTGAGAGGGGAAAGGGGCGAGAGAGAGAGGAAAAGAGGGTGAAAGGGAGAGAGAGTGTTGGGGTACCCTCATAACCCCTGCCTGTGTCCCGCGTACCCCAAGGGCCACACGTACCACAGGCTGAAAAACTATGCTCTATGACATCTTCCAGGTCACTGATGAAGATACTGAACAAAACTGGCCCCAGGACTGAACCCTGGGGCACTCCACTTGATACTGGCTGCCAACTAAACATCAAGCCATTGACTACTACCTTCTGAGCCCAATGATCCAGCCAGTTTTCTATCCAATTTACAGTCCATTCATCTAATCCATACTTCTTTAGGTTGCCTGAGAGAATGTTGTGAGAAACTGCATCAAAAGCCTTGCTAAAGTCAAGATATACCACATCTACTGGTCTCTCTGCATCTGCAGAGCCAGTCATCTCATCACAGAAGGCAATCAGGCTGGTGAAGCATGACTTGCCTTTGGTGAATCCATGCTGACTGTTCCTAATCACCTTCATCTCCTCCAAGTACTTAGAAATGGATTCCTCAAGGACTTGCTACATGATTTTTCCAGTGACTGAGGTAAGGCTGATTGGCTTGTAGTTGCCTGCATCCCCTTTTTTCCATTTCTTACATATGGGTACTATATTTGCCTTTTTCCAATGATCCAGGACATCTCCCAATTACCATGAGTTTTCAAAGATGATCACCACTGGCTCTGCAACCACATCAGCCAACTTCCTCAGCCTCATGGACTTGTACATGTCCAGTTTTACTAAATAGTCCCTAACCTTTTCTTTTGCCACAATTGGCTGCTCACCCCCACCCCAAATTCTGCTGCCAGGGGCAGTAATTTGGGAGCTGACCTTGCCTGTGAAGACTGAGGTGAAAAAGGCATTGAGTCCTTCAGCCTTTTCTGCATCCTCTGTCACTAGCATAGGTGATGCATACAGGGAGCTCGGGGGGGCACATGCATTGGTGGCCATTGCTGGGTTCTGTGGGTGGTTGCCACGCTCACCACACACCCCCACCTACCACTAACACCAATGCCGGGGTCTGCGGGTGATCCCTGTTCACTGCTCACCATCACGCCCCTGCCATTGACACTGCTGCAAGAATTCCCTGCTAAGCCAAGCTGGTCTTCTGCCATACTTGCTAATCTTTCTGCACATCAGGATGGTTTGTTTCTTCAGTCTCAGTAAGGTTTCTTTAAAGTCCTTTGTTTTAGCCCTTTCCCATAATGTCAGCCTATCTCTTCTATTTAAATTGTAAGCTCTTGGGCAAGAACTGTAAAATTTAGTATAGGAAATTGTATGTGCCTATACATTTTATCACAATAAATGTAATTACATTGTTGAGCTAGAAGCCACAGTTTCCCCTCGGCAGGTCAGCATAGTAAAGTTATGAGATGAACTTTTCACCTCATGTTAAGAGGTGACCTATGTAGGGATGCATATGACAAGCAACAGCAGAGATGGCATGAGAAATGTTACAGTCACCTTGTAAAGTGAGGTGAGTGCTGATTGGTGAAGAATATTGAATGACAGATAGACGAGAGGAGATCATACTTGAGGAGAGGTACATGTGACAGGATGAGCAAAGATTAGGGGTGGTCAATACCTCATCTGAGTGGTGGATTTGAATGAGACTTGAGTGACTGAGTAAGTCTGAACCTTGTGTGTGTCAGAGTGGGTGTGGACCGGGGCGGTCAATCCCCTGTGTGTGTGTGGTGTCTCAGATGAGGGCCTGGGAGGCCAATATCCCTTGAGTGTGTGCTGAGAGAGGGTTGTGTGCCTGTCAGCAGTGGTGTCTGAGAGACAGAAAGTTGCTCTCTAGCACCATTGACAGGAGTTCTCATGTTTCTTCTGCTCCGTGGTTTGTTGTTCATGGAGCAGGGTAATATTGGATTATTGTTGTGTCTATTGTACCTCATTTGTTAATTAATTGTCTTTCTTGTTGTTGTACAGTAGAGTTGTCTACCCCTTTTTCTTGTGTCACTTGTTTTATTACTAATTAATTGTTATTGACCGCTGGGTAGAGCTGGGCTGTTGACTTAGGTTGCTGAGAGCAGCCCACCCACTTCCCTTTTAATTTTACTGTGTGCTAATTAGAGTAATTGCTTGTTTAACAACATATGTATATATTCATTCAGAGGTTATATAGGAGTTTCCTTCAATTGTGTTCATTCCCCTTGTGTGTTCACTTTACAAGAAAATTTCAGAGTATGACTTTCAGAGTGGGAAAAAAATATTATCCAAGGCAGCAGATTTAAGTGGATATTAGATGATACTATCAGAATTTTTTTTTTACTATCAGAGTTGAAATTATTTACTGACAGTGGAAACACACATGCAACATGCAACAAACAACTCCAATCTAAACACCTTGAATTGCAAAGCTTGTACAAGAACTTAATTACAAATAAGTTATAGACCTGGAACTATTTACTGAAATTACTTGGCTCAATAAATTGAATAACAACAGTTTCAAAAGCCCTGCAATTTATCCATTAACAATTTACAAGTAGAAAAGGAGATAATGTATTTAGTGAAAGTTATATACCAGGGTTGTTGAATCCCCAGCCTGTGAGCCAAATATGGCCCACAACCCCTTGTCGTCCAGCCCATCAGGCTCCCGGCAGGTCCAGAAATTTGTCAGTGGGGAAACAGTACCACTGCTCCCTGAATGCCAAAACTCTGGATTCATGGGGAGCCCTGGGATCTGTGTGCTGGATCTGGTTCAGGTACCCAATCCCAGAGTGCAGGGCCAAGCAGGGATAGCACCAGATCCCAGAGCCCAACCTTAGTGTGGGGGAACTCATGGGGCTGATGCCACCCCACCCCCAGGGCCCAATCCCTGTGCATAGGCATAGGACGGGTCAATGCTGGGCCCCCAAGGCCCTATCCTGGAGTGTGGAGACAGAAGGGGGCAGGAACAGCCCCCCAGTACCCAATCTTTGTTGTGGGGAGGGACAGGAGAGGAAGGCACCAGGCCAGCAGGACTCAATCCCAGTGTGTGAGGCAGGGAACCACAGAGCCTGATTCTGGCATGCAAGGCTCAGTCCACCCCACAGACCAGCCCTTGCCACTCACCTGGCCTGCTGAGCCAAGAGATTAAATCTCACTGGTATATACAGTTGCATGTGTGCAAACTAACTCTGGTGTATCCACATGGCCAGCTAGAGTCTTATCATCATTCTAAGCCTCTTTAGGAAAAAAGAAACATGTATTTCCGCTTCAAATATTAACCTTAGCATCTGAGAGAGAAGCAGGAAAGGTAAACTCTCCGAACGAAAGACTTTGTGTCTATCTATAAAAGTACTTAAATCATTGAATGTTTGTACATGTACTTCAATTACAGTTACCTGTATGATGTCTAGGTGTTCTAATAAATAATTAGCAGTAGTGGGACAAAAAACATAGCTAATGCTTAGACAGAGCTTGATCAGCTAATGAGAAAGATTTTGCAACATGGTTCCCTGCAACAGCAAGGGGAATGGATTTAATAACCTACAAGTTCCCTGCCGGTCCTATATTACTAATTCAAATATGTTGCCCCACCATATTTGAATTGGAAACAATGGCTGTAGTCCAGTAGCCAATTTCACTTGACACAATATAGCTTGACAACAAAATAAGACTATAAAACTAGAATATCCCTGTCCCAAGCCTCAGAAATACTCCAGACTCTTCTACTATCCTGGCTACTCCAAATGTTTGTTCATCTAGTTGGGCTTTTCCCTAGTTGATCCCCAGTGATCAACAGACCTAGGTTATTTCCAGCCAAAAAATGAAACCAGAAAATTCAGAAGGAAAGAAAGCATAATGGACCCTTTGAGCCCTTTAAAAAATTCAAGTTCTGCTGATCAACACTAAATGTGATTTGAGTTGAAAGCCAGTTCTTTATACTTTAAAAACAATGTATAAAGACTTAAATTCCAACTAGCAAGAAGTACAGATTCACTGCAGATCCTAGATAATGTCAGAGAGATCTGCTCCTGCCTAAAATTTGTACATTTGTTACTTGTTATTTGTGTGTGAGGATGCCAAAAATGAGAAACACAAATATTCCATAAAAACTATACTACTATGGACATGCACGGGCCCAAGTGTAATTAAAGTACCAACAACGTTGGTACGTTGCCCTGAAGAGCAAGCCATATGAAGAAAGCCTGACAGATATGGGACTGGTCAACCTAGAAAAGAAGACTTTGGGGGGAATGGTTATAAAGTCCTAGAAGATGGTTTCAGTCTAAATAGAAGGAATAACTTTTCATGGTTCATGTGACCAGACTCTGGAATAGACTGCAATCGGGGGTGGTGCAGTTACCTACCCTGGAGATATTCAAAAGGAGACTGGACACACACCTTGCTGGAGTTATTTGACCCCAGCAGTCTTTCCTGCCCAGAGCAGTGGGGCTGGACCTGCTGATCTCGCAAGGTCCCTGCCAGCCCTAAACTTCTGTGAATGTGTTACCAGAAATGTGGATTCAGTAATACCTCCTACTGCCAGATTGCTACCACTTTTTGGAAAAGGTAACAGAATTTGGTCTTAGATCCTTGTTGTATAGAGGTCTAATAACTTTTCTAAGTTATGCAATTAGATCTTCAAAAAAATACAGATACACCTTCCTCCATTGTTGTTACACTTGGGTAATTCCCACTGAGGTTAGCTTAAAATGCAGAACTGAATGAAGGGGGAGAAAAGTGCTGTAGGGAATCAGAATGTCAAGGTTCTGGGACAGAGGTACCCAACTAAAATAACGCAAATGTTTTGTGACAGCAAATTTGAATCATGATTGTAAAAGCTTCTGTATACATTTCCTAAAGGAACGTTTGCAGATGACTCCTCTGCATCTTACCAAAACAATAACAACAAAAATCCAAGCCCCTCTCAATGTTAATATTGCTACCATATCCTTTTGAAGAATAAAACATCTGGCACAGCTGGAGTCTTCATCAGTCTCAAATAGCTATAGATAAGCCAGAGCACTAAAGCAAGCATTTTGAGTACTCTCTAGAGGTAATTTAAAATTCATAAAATCTTTTCATATAAATCCTTTTAAAAAAGTTTAATCCAGCACTGCATATCATGTGCATATCATTACATTATTTTCACTGAATTTTCTGGAGGAAGAAAGCATTCAGAACAGCTGGAATCCATGTCAATTTCAAAAGAAAGATTCAGCCTGCTGACTTATTTTTCACTGCATTGTCTGAATTTCATTACACACACAATATGCTCAGGAATAGACTTGCAGAAAAAAATTAGTATTTCTTTATAAATACATTTCCTTTGCAATCTCATAAACTGTATTCTGCAGAGTTTTAATTAAAACATGTGAAATGTCATGGTGATCTACAAGTTAATACAGAGAGAACTTCTTAATCCAACCAAAAACAAATTATTTACCTGCATTAGAGCACACGATATCTTGAGAATTCTTGCACATTTCATTGCTTTTCTTCCTTGTAACATTGCATGTAGTTGGGTACTGACAAGCTTCACCATACCAGCCTTCATCACATTTGCACTTCCCACAGTCACACTTCCCATGGCCTAGGAAATTAAGGAAACAGTGTCAAGTTCAGTTATCATTCTAATTTTCTTTATAGCTTTTAAGAGAGTTATAACTGCACGAAAAGAAAGTTCAAGTGGACATCACTAAGACATTTTACTGAAGTTAAGTTAGTACAGTAACAAGTAACATGATTTTTTAAAGGCTTGCATTACCTTTGAAGAGAGATCTGACATTAGGGGCCTTTAGCCTACATCAGTGTTTCTCAACCTATGGGTTGCAACACAAAAGTGGGTCACAAGAATCTATGAAAAGGTCACAAGCAAACTTTAAAAATGGCTCAAACTTTAAAAATGGATTCTCCTTTAAAGGAGAAAAATGTGGGAAACCGTGGCTTTTCCCTTGCAGGCTGGCAGAGCTCCAGCCTACAAGGGTCTGCTTGGGAATCCCCTACCCCACACACTGGGGGCTGGGGTGTGGGGGCTGAGGGCAGTGGGTCTGGAGTGAGGGGCACTGGGTTGGGACCTGCCAGTTGGAACTGGCAAATGTGCTCCCAGTCAGCCAGGCAGCAGGGCATGGGAGATTGTTTCCTACCCCTGGGAGCTGCCTGCTGCCAGGGTGGGCTCTGCCACCAGAGCCTGGGCAGAGACAACCAAATAAGGATCTCCCAGCCCCACAATCATGGAGCAGGAGCTGGGAGCTATTCTGTCCTATCCCCAACAACAGGAAAAAGCCAAGAGCCCCACTGCCACCATGGAAAACTGGCTATGGGCTTTGTAGCCACTGTGTTAGAATCCAGGGGGACTGTGAAGACATTATACAGGTTCATGGATCATGTTCAGAGTCAGAACTAGATAAAGAGTTCAATAAGACAACATCTGCCTAAGTGGTTTGATGAGATCTGGATCCAAGGGGATGTCTGATGCTACAACCTCAGTTGGCTATTACATGAGGTTCAATAAGGACAAGTGCAAAGTCCTGCACTTAGGATGGAACAATCCCAGGCACCAGTACAGGCTGGGGACTGACTAGATAAGCAGCACTTCTTTGGAAAAGTACATAGGGGTTGCAGTGGATGATAACCTGAAGATAAGCCAACAGCGTGCCCTTGCTGCAAAGACGACTAATGGCATACAGGGAAGAATTGGTGGGGGCTGTAGAAGTGGACGGTAAATTGAGCATCAGTGACCACAAAATGATTGAGTTCAGGATCCTGACAAAAGGAAGAAAGGAGAGCAGCAGAGTATGGACCCTGGAGTTCAGACACCCAGACTATGACTCCCTTAGGGAACTGATGATCAGGATGGCCTGGGAGGCTAGTTTAAGAAGGAAAGAAGTCCAGGATAGGTGGTTGTCTTTTAAAGAAACCTTACTGAAGGCACAGGAACAAACCATCCTGATGTGCAGGAAGAATATCAGATGTGGCAAGCGACTAGCTTGGCTTAGGAGAGAATTCTTTAGTGAGCTTAAACACAAAAAGAAAGCTTACAAGAAGTGGAAGCTTGGACAAACAGCTTGGGAGGTTTATATGACTGTTGATCGGGCATGCAGGGATGAAGTCAAGAAGGCCAAAGCACAATTGGAGTTGTAGCTGGAAAGGAATATGAAGGGTAACAAGAAGGGCTTCTACAAGTATGTTAGCAACAAGAGAAAGGTCAAGGAAAGTGTGGGTCCCTTACTGAATGAGGGAGGCAACCTAGTGGCAGATGAGCAAGAAAGACTGAAGTACTCAATACCCTTTTTACCTCAGTCTTCAAGGAAAGGTCAGCTCCCAGACTACTGCACTGCATAACATAGTTTGGGGAGAAGGTGTAGCCCTTAGCGGTGAAAGAACAGGTTAGGGACTATTTAGAAAAGATGGATGTGTAAAAGTCCATGGAGCCAGATGCAATGCACCTGAGGGTGCTAAGGGAGTTTGCTGATGTGACTGCAGAGCCACTGGCCATTATCTTTGAAAACTCATGGCAATTGTGGGAGGTCCTGAATGACTGGAAAAAGGCAAATAGAGTGCCCAAGTGCCATGTTTAAGAAAGGGAAGAAGGAGGATCCAGGGAACAACAGACCAGTCAGCCTCACCTAAGTCCCCAGAAAAATCATGCAGAAGGTCCTCAAAGAATCCATTTCTTAAGCACTTGGAGAAGAAGGTGATTAGGAACAGTCTGCATGGATTTACCAAGGGCAAGCCATGTCTAACCAACCTGGTTGCCTTCTGTAATGATAACTGGCTCTGTGGATGTAAGCAAGCAGTGGATATAATATACCTTGACCTTATTAAGGCTTCTGATACCATTTCACACAGCATTTTTCCAAGCAAGCTGAGGAAGTATTGGTTGGATGAATGGACTGTAAGTTAGATAGAAAAGCTGGCTGGATTGTCGGGCTCAACAGGTAGTAATCAATGGCTCAATGTCTAGCTGACAGCCAGTATCAAGTGGAGTGCCCCAGGGGTTGGTTCTGTTCAATATCTTAATTAATAATCGGGAAGATGGGATGGATTCTACCCTCAGCAGGTTTATGGATGACACCAAGCTGTACAGACTGTACAGGCAAGACAGAGCAGGGAAAAGAGGAGGAAGGGAGCGTAGCGCTATACATCAAAGAGCAATACACATCCTCAATGATCAGGATGGGGTCAGATGAAAGGCAAAATTAGGCGCTCTGGGTAAGAATGCAAGGGGGCATGGGGAAAGGGATTTGATAGTGGGTGTCTACTACTGACTGCCTCACCAGGGGGATGAGCTGGACCTGGAATTCTCAGGTCAGCTCACAGAGGCAGTAAAGTCAAGGGATGTGGTTGTCATGGGTGACCTAAACTACCCAGACATGCTGGGAGGAACAGTCAGCCAGGTGTGACCACTCATTTCATAGATTTCATAGACATTAGGGCTGGAAGGGACCTCAGAAGATCATCGAGTCCAGCCCCCTGCCCAAAGGGCAGGAAGTCAGCTGGGGTCATAGGATCCCAGCAAGATAAGCATCCAATTTGTTCTTGAAGGTGTTCAGTGTAGGTGCTTGAACCACCTCCGATGGCAGGCTGTTCCAGACCTTGGGGGCTCAGACAGTAAAGAAGTTCTTCCTTATGTCCAGCCTGAATCGGTCACAGTGGTGTTTGTGATTGTTTGATCTTGTCATCCCTTGGGGCGCTCTGGTGAACAGACGTTCCCCCGGATCCTGATGAGCAGCCCTGATAAACTTATAGGTGGCCACCAGGTCCCCCCGAGCCT